TACAGTTTCTTGAGTTCCGAGTCTGCAGTCGAACTAGACTCGGAGAACCAACCTTTGAAGCAAAGTTCCAGCGACGATGAGAAAGGTTTCGCTACGCCATCCGCCAAGAAGAAGGAAGGAGGAGTCGACAGGCTGCAAGATCTTCACGAAGAAGCTGTAGAATGTCGTAGTTCCAGCGTTCGCAACCTCGACATTCTCTATTCTTCTGAGTTATCAGAACAAAAGGAGGAGGAAATTCTTACGGAGTTGGCTCGGCTACTGCCACTGGACCTGTCGGAGTGTGTCGACAGAAGAAACGATGAAAGCTTTGAGTTCCCTCCAGTTCCAGAGCAGGCTGACTACGCGACGCCGGTTATGAATCCAGACAGCCGAGCTATGCAAGTCGCTGCTGAGAACGTTCCTGGGACTGGTGCTGAGACTGCGATTTCCACTCCAAAGCGCAAAACCTCTGCCTCGCTTGATTTTGATGCAACTTTTACGCTGCTTGAGCAGCTGGAAAGACCGGAGTCCTCTCTTTCCTCTGGTGCGGAGAAGAAATTGATGTCCGAGCTGGCGGACTTGCTTGACTTGCCACAGGCGGCTACTCCACCGCGGCAGACGGAGCAAGAAGAAGACGAACTCGCCAAGCACACTGCGAAGCTAAGTCTTGCGGACTTTCTACTCGAGATACCAGACCCGTCGGCTTCGATAGAGTACGTCAAGGCCTTGTTCTCCTGCGAGAACATCCTGCTGGAGAAGCTTTGTGACAAAGTTGGAGGTCTGGAAGAGTCACTAGATTCCTCGGAACCAATGCCAGTGCCACCTCCAGCTGCAAGCATAAGAACCGAGGAGTCCCGGACAGGCAACTCTAGTTTTGGCGGCGCATGCACTTGTCACTCTAGCGACAATCGCTTGACATCATCCTTGAAGAGGCTCTGTGCAGTGTGGGAGGAGCAAGACGTCGATCTACTGACCCGTTCCTTGAGGTTTAAGATGCTCACTGCGAGCAGCTCTTCATCTGAGGTATGTGAATCCCGTATACACCAGGCACTACGGAACTGATGCTTCTTTTCTTCCAGCTTTCTACAAAAGAGGCACCGTGCATCGCCTGGGAGATCCACGCGTTGCAGAACATCGACAAGAGTGCTAAGTCTCGAAGGGCTGCAAAGGAGCTTATACAGCAGCAAAGAGATAAGATTTACATCAACATAGGCGCCTATGCGAGCAGGAGTGAGAGGCATCAGCTCTATTCGGCATGGGGGGTTCGCAGGCTATCAACAGGCCGGCTCAAAAAGATCGTCTACGACCTTATGTGGAGGGATACAAAGAGGTAAAAAGCTCATCAACTTAGAGCGAGCACTAACACTAACAGAGAATATTGCCAGGTATTCTCATAGCGCTGAGCTCGTGAGCCTCTACCTCTGAGGATCTCGAGAGAAGGTATATCAGCCTACTGGGCCGCAGGTAGAAAGACTTTCGCCATTAGTTGTTGCTTTTGCAGAAACTGGAACTTAAATATTGGGTTACCATTGAGCAAACGTTTAGTGCTGTGGAAGAAATGTCCGTGAAAGGGACCTGAAGCCTGGAGTGCTTGTTAACAATTGGCATTGTCTAGGACTGTAGATGGAGGCAAAGAGAGATGAGAAGGAAACGCAAGGTTTGCAGGTACCTGGAAGAAAATCTATCTCTCATTTTCATCGCCTGTGAGACCGAATGATCTGTCACAAATCTGGACAAACGAATGGAATACAAGCGGAAGCACAGTGAGCCAGCTATAGTCTCGAAGAAGAAAAACGAACCATCAGCAAAGCTGCTAGTACCAGATCACAACTCTATACCATCAAGCGATGTACGTGATCGAAGATGGGCTGAAGTGGAGAAGTGGAGTCCAGCGGCACTCGAAAAAGATCTGATTGAAGGTTATGGGGTTGGCAATGTTACCAAGGACACTCTTCAGGACCCGATTACTCTCGACAAGGTGAGGGATAGGATGATCGAGAGAGGAGTGCTCCCAGAAGACTACTTGGACGGTTATTATCAATAGAAAATCTCCAATCCTTGTGTGCTAGAAAATCTCTTGTTGTCTCCCAGGAGAGATCTCATATCAAAATCTAGAAGATCTCTTGTTGTGTTTTACCATCCGGAGCCAACAAGATTTCTCCTTTAGATTCGGCTCAGAGCCTCTTCTTTTTCCAGGTTGGTAATCACCAACCAAGGAGAAATTCTTCGTTCATTCGCTTTGAACTTTGTGTAGCTCCAAGTTTCCAGGGCCCAAGCTTGCTGTTCGTCGTGCTCCTTTTGTGCCATGGTTGGGGCACCAAGACTGGCTGTGAGAACCATGGTGAGGATTTTCTAAAAGTTCCAACGCTTTCCTAAGTTTTCTCCATCTACAGGTTTGGAAGTTTAAAGACGAATGCCTATTGTTAACACAGGCTTCGAGTTCGAAGTCCCTTTCACGGACATTTCTTCCACAGATGTTTTTCCCCACCACGAGCCGGAGACTCGGCATTCAACGTTTAAGGCTGGAATAATTTCCCGAAGTTTACGCAATGATGAGAAAGGTTTCGCTATGCCATCAGGCAAGAAGAAGGATGGAAGAGTTGGCAAGCTGCATTCGGCGAGGAAGAGAACAGTTCATACGTTGGCAACCTCGAGATTCTTTGAGTGATCGGAAGTAGAACTCGCCAAGCACACTGTGAAGTAAAGTCTTGCGGACCTTTTGCTCGAGATGCCAGATCATAGAGTACGTCAAGGCCTTGTTTTCCTGCAAGGGCATCCTGCTGGTGACAAGTTGAGTAGAAATATCTTTTCATTCGCGGCCTTAAAGTTTGGTAGGCAACGAACTCGAAGAATTCCAGGATCAGGAATGAGCCCCAGCTTTCTGTTCGTCGTGTTCCTCTTCTCCGCGGCGGTGCTCTTATGGATTTTCGACAATTTTTCCGGCTCCGCAGAGTTGTCCCGGACCCGAACTCTGGGATCAAGTTTTCGCATCACCAAGAACTACAACATCAGCGACACTTGCAGAAGCAGGATCGAGTACGCTTCCTACAGCCGCCAACGATCGACCAGCTTCGAGCCATCCGAGTCACTCCACCGCAAAATCCTCGAGTACGAGGCCTTACACGCGAGGTGCTATCCGGGCCCTGAGCAGTGCTCGAACTGTACATGCAACTATCTCCTCTACGTCACCGCCGGCCAGGGGATGGGCAACAAGATGATAGCTCTGGTGGCAACTTTTCTCTACGCGCTGCTCACGGACAGGACAATGGTGATCGCCGGATCGGAGAACTTGGCCACGCTCTTCTGCGAGCCGTTTCCATCCAGCTCCTGGCTGGTGCCGCCGAGCTGGAAGCACCTCGAGGGGGCGCCGTTTGACGGCTCGAAGTGGATCGGAAGCTTGGCGGGATCGCTCAACTGCAGCCACGGTGTAAATTTCCCCGAGGTGGTGGTGGCCTATCTCGTGAACAACTACAGGGACGAGGACAAGGCCTTCTTCTGCAAAGAACACCAACAAGCTCTCCAGTCCAGCTCGAAGTGGATTGTTCTCTCGTCCGACCAGTACTTTGTTCCGGCGCTCTACAACGTCCCGGTTTTCAGGAGCAAGCTCGAGGAATGGTTTCCACAGGAGGAGGCCATCTTTCATCTCCTGGTGAGGTACCTCTTGCATCCTAGGGACGTGGTGTGGGACAGGACGGCCAGATACTACGATGCGTACCTGGCCCAAGCCGAGCTTCTAGTCGGGGTCCAGCTGCGAACTAGCGTCTGGTTCGCGCCACCCGACCTCGCCAACGATGCCTTCGACTGCCTGGTGCAACAAGGCGCGCTCGCAAACATCACCCAAGCGCGAGCTCCCAGAACGTCGCTTAGGAAGGGCAAGAAGGTGGCGGTGCTTGTGGTGTCGCTGGATGCGCAGTACTCTCAGACGCTCAAGAACAAGGTGCTGGGCTACGATCTGGAAGATGGTTCGTCGGTTTCGATCCACCAGCCAAGCGTGGAAGGGGTGCAAAACACCGGGAACTTGGATCATGATGCAAAGGCAGTGATGGAGATCTATCTGTTGTCAATGAGCGACGTGTTGGTGACGAGCCCGCCATCAACGTTTGGATACTCGGCGGTGGGGCTGGCGGGCGTGCGGCCCGTCCAGTTTGCGTGCTCGGGGGGCGGCTGCTCGGCGAGGGAGTCGATGGAGCCGTGCTACCACACGTACCCGGATCAGCAATTCATGCTGGACAACATCCAGCGATGCGAGTGCGAATTGGGATACAGGCTATAGATGTAACTTTCCATTCTTCCTCATTTGTTTGCTTGCAAATGCCCTGGTGGCAAAGACGTGTTCACCTTCACATAATTTTTATTATTTTCTCTCATAGGTTCTACAGCAAGTTGGCTAATTCATTTTCTTGTGAGCTTCTCATTGGAGCAGACTAGAGACTGCTTCATCTGCCGATGCCTTGATCATCGGCCTATAAGAAAAGATGCAAACTTTGCTCCAAGAAATACAATGTGAACTGTGAGGATCGTTCTACCGTGGTCAACGGTGCTCTCCACTAAGACATTATAAAAATGCGGTATAGGGAACTACCATCGGATGAGTATGGTTTGATCCAGGCGTTTGATTGGAACGGGGAGAAGCGATTCGTCCATGCGCTGTTCGTGGTCAACGATGGTCTTGAGGTTGGACTCCCAATCAAACGGGGAGAAGCGATTTGTCCATGCGCTGTTTGGTCAACGATGGTCTCGAGGCTGGTCAAGTACTCCCCTCTGATTGGGAGTCCGCTCGGCCAATGTTCCCAAGGACTATGTTAATGAATCAAATAAGGGCGAAAGGTTAGCATCAATGAAATATAATAAAAGATCTCCTCGTGTTGAGTAGTTTCAACTATCAAAAAAGATGGCACCATTTTCATGCATGCCTCCACAGAGTATCGAACTCTGGGCCTTCAGTTTACAAGACTGACGCTCTACCACTGAGCTATAGAGGCGAAGACTTGAGAGGCAGGCTAGAGCCTACATTCTCTCGATCCGAGAGTATCTCTTTCGCAAGGGCTCTTTCTAGGGTTTCTGGCTATGGCGGACTATCACTTCGTCTACAAGGACCCGCAAGGTCCTAGCACCGAATGGGACGACATCCAAAGGAAGCTCGGCAATCTCCCGCCCAAGCCGCCCGTGGAGAAGCCAGCGCCATGGCAGCCAGTGCCGGATCCCGGTAAGAGCAAGCAGTGGATCGATTCCAAGAGCGAGGAGGAGCTCCACGAGCTCCAGGACGATCTGGATCTCGACGAGGATTCCAGATTTCTCGAGGAATACCGGTAAGGGATTGTTTAGCCGAGCATTTATATGGTTTTTTTGATCTATTACATTGCTCAGGACTTGGAAATTTCTTCTCACAGGAAGAAGAGATTGCTGGAGCTTAGCGAGGTTTCCAAGAGCGCGAAATTCGGTTCCTTGATCCACATCACTGGCTCGGACTTCATCCGAGAGGTTTCTCGTGCTCCTCCGGACGTGTGGGTCGTCGTGCATCTCTACAAAGACGGGTAATGACAGTTTCTCGAGGTTTCTTGCAAGAAATCCTTGTTTTTTGTCCTGCAGTGTTCCCGAGTGCCAGCTCTTGGGCCAATGCTTGGAAGAGCTCGCGAAAAAATATCCCGCCACGAAGTTCGTGAAGATCATCTCCACGGATTGTATCAACAACTACCCCGACTTCAACTTACCCACGGTGCTTGTTTACAACAATACCAACGTGAAGGCGACGCTGGTTGGATTGCATCACTTTGGTGGCAAGCGTTGCACCCCCGAAGGTTAGATTTCCGTCCTCTTGCTTAGTTTTCTCTCAGCAATCTTTCGTTGTTACTAAGACCGAGTTTTGCAGACGTTGCTTTCACCCTGTGTCAAGTTGGGCCTGTTCTTGGAGAAGGCAGCAGCTCGGAGGCCATCCAGCAAAAGGTCCGGAGAGACTTTATCGAGAAAATTATTTCTAGACACGAGCAGGACAAGTCAGACTCGGAAGACGATTGATTCCATCGCCACAGAAGGGAAGCTTTTGTCTCCTTTTTCCTTTATCTTCCTCCTGCTGTTCCAGGAAAGCAAATCAATCTCTTTTCAAAGTCATTCATGGTACAAGGAAAATGGCTTCTTTTTTTTTACAGGTTGCTTGTGAGCTGTCTGTGAATCCTGTTAAACAATCTCCTAGCTATCCAGTCGCTTCTACAATAGCTGACGCTCGCCTTTAACGTACACCACGATGCTGTCATAAGTTTCCATCGTGTATGGACACTCGGCATAGCATCTGCGATACATAAAAATAACTTCCAGCTTGTAAGAACTCGCGAAACCACACAAACTTACCTCAACTCGTGCCAAAACGTGGATGCGTTGCTACCGAGAAACCTCTCGAGCTGCGAAACGGCCTCGGACGAGCTCTGGCTCGAGCTCTTCCTCGGACCTTCAGGAGAATCATCCGACCCTTCTATCGCGTCGATTCTGTAAGAAAACCAGTGGCTGAGAACCAGGTGCTCTAACACGGAGTGATCTGCGTCTCCCAGGATGGCTTTCAGCTCTCGTGTGATCCAGGGTCTCAAACGACGCTCGGCTCTCGTCTTTGCGTCGAGATCATACGGCCTTAACTGTGAATAACGAGTCAACAAACTGGGGAAAGTTTCAAAGCCAGTCACACACGAAACTTACTTCCATACGCTTCTTCACATTCAACGGAACGGCTCGAAGACCCTTCCTGTATATGCTGCAAGCAACACGCGGAAAGTGTCAACCAAGAACAAAAAAAAAGAAGAAAAACACACACCCACACAAACAGACCTTGTACGCCACGAAAGAGCTCTTTCTGTAAGAACTTCGGCAGTGAGCCTCTCCCTCTCAGCGGGGGATATGAAACATCTTTGCCGGGGCAAAGGGATTGATCTCCGGTACGATCTGCTGACCCTCGACTGCATGAGTTGTTGCAACCGCAATCTGGATCGAAATGTCATAGTGCTCCTGACAACTTCTCTGGAAACAAGAGAAAGAAGTCTAGTGTAGCCAAAGTCACGCCAAACTCTGGAAAAAAAAAGTTTTCTTACCTCTCCAGCCTTGCTTGGTTCCTACTCGTGCTCGTCCGCCTCTCGGGAAGCACGCTGGAGGGCCTCCCATCCGTGGACAGCCGATAGTCCGATGTAGAAATTCGAAAGTCGCTCAGGGACAACCTGTAATCCTCGGCTGTGGAGAGCCTGTAGTCCAAAGAAGGCCTGTAGTCGAGCGGCGGCAAAATCCTCTCGACACGCTTCTGCCCCTTGATGGTGTGGTACCAACCTGTGAACTCGGCCTTGCAAAGCGGGCACGACCTGCGAACTTTGCTCCACTCCTCGATGCAGCCGACGCAGAAGCTGTGCATGCACCACCACAGCGACGCGTTCTTCGACTCCTCAATCGCCCCGAGACAGATCGGACAGACGTGCTCTGCCTCGGCCCCCTTTTCCTCGTCCTCTCGATGCATTGGCAACCGAGAAGGTTGCCTCAGCTCGAACGTTATCTCATGCTGCTGATGCTGCTGTGAACAAGCCCGTGCAAGCCCAGGCATGATGGCTCCACCGTGCTGTGAGCTGATAGACGTCTCGGCGGGGCGAAAGCTCCAAACTTGAAGTGAAGGGAGCCACACAAAGTTCCCGCTACTGCTGGTGGTGGCGGTGTTGGAGTTGGATCTCTCGACGGGGTTCATCAACTCGGGGAGGTCTTGCGAGGCTGTGTTTTCAGTTGCTGTCGGAAGGAATCCTGCTTATCCTGCCAGAAGCGTCTGCACATCCCAACAAGGCACCTATCAATCGCAACGCAAATGCACTTACGAGTTGCAACATGACAAACGTAGAGGAACATAATGCCGAACAAACAGTAAAGGCCAGACAAGAACTACAGCCAAGCCAAACTCAAAAGCCAAAAAGGAAGGGAACCCAGGGACGATTTGGCTGCTCGACCGAAAAACAGGAGCGGATGCATCACAGCAACTGGGTAACCACTCTCCGATCGAACTTCTGAGCCGCATCCAGCCATCGAAAGAGATAGACGGATTGGAATCTGATGCAAGAAGGGGGGGACAGACCAAGCCCAGCAAAAGTGGTGTGGTGCTTTCAGTTCAAATAGCATTCAATGCTTCCATAAAAGCTGTGCTAGTATAGCAATTCGCGTTTTTTCTTTCTTTCCTGGCTTCCATAACCACCCAAGCTGGAAGCAAGGACCGACTTTGAGACAAACCAGTCCCATCTTCCACTCACAGGAGAAAAGAAAAGCAACAGATCAAACCAAGAAAACCAAGAGATCAAACCAAACACACGAGTTTTTCGCTCTGGATCCAAAGCAAAGAGGCCAGACGGGATGGATGGACTGACCACACTCGGCCAAATTCGCAGTTCAAACATGGAAAGCATAAGGATGAGGCGCGCATTTAATGACTTACCAAATTCTTCGCTCCGAGCTAGCTCTTTCAAACCAATGAACCACCTGTTGCCAGTTCCTGCGAAGATTCCAATTCCCTCCTCGCTTTGGATCAAGAAAAAAAACCCCATTAGATCAAAATCCAAGAGAATGCGAGAGAATTTCTTAGAGGCTAAGCTAACCTGTGCTTGCTGCTTAATCCATCGCGGCGCCGGACTGGAATGCTCGACAATGTGAATCGCGGCGGCAGCACGGCGGGATCGCAGCTTAAATACCCCCCCTTCTTGCTCCAAGACAAGAATTAGGGTTCTGGGCTACACGCCGCCATAGCCGTGGACCTCTGGAAAAAAGGGGGAAAAAGGGCGAGCCCACAAAATCCACGCTGGAGGAACCGGCGCCAACATGGCAGGATGTCAGCGGTCAGATGGATGTGACGGTTTTGGGTCGCAGGCCACGCGGCGCCAGCTAATCGTGACAGGTGTTCCCCCTGGCATCTTCACCGTACCTTCTCATGGATGTCTTCTTGTCGTTAATATCTCCCATGATCACAGTGATATTTGCCGATCAAACAAAAACCATGACCTCGATAGATCCTTTGAGCGAAGTGCTTTTGTCAAAACTTCGTTGGCTGGGCGATTAAATTCTATTAATCTCGGTCGTCCAATCCAATTCGGACCACGAGGAATAATTCCGACACGTGTAGCGAGTATTTTAATCGAGAGCACCGCAACACCGAAAGTTCGAAAAAATTTATACTACTATCAGCGAGCTTTGGAAGAATGAGAAATATTTTTTCACATTCTTCTATACTATGATGTGATAAGCATGTGAAGTGAAGAGTGTATCACACTTCTCTTTCGGAGATTGCCTTTACAGTGTGTACTGACCGACCAGTCACTGCAAAGCCCATGTCATCTAAATCAAACACAGTGCGATTTAAAGGTTAGTTAACTTTCATCTTGGGTCAAGATTCACTCAGCTTGTTCTTCACAGGAAAAAAAAAAGCAAAGCAAAACGAAAGCTCCGGCCATTGCCAAGGCCGTGCAAAACCTTTCTGGAGATTACTTTACTTTCTAGTGCTGTTGGGAGCGCGTGGCTTGGATTTGATTTCGGCCTCCTGCACAAACAATCACTCAAGTGAGAAAAATTCCTTGAAAGCGATGTAAACACAGCTCCTACCAGTATTGGATGCAGTAGGATATAATTGTTTGATCCCGGGACGTGATTCTCAGCACCCCTGCTCCAGTCATAGCTCACCTGTGCATAGAATGGACAGATGAATAAAACTGGAAAGGAAAAGTGAACAAACAAACACTCACGGCATACGCAAAGATAGTGCCATCGTAGTTGAAAGTGCTACAAGGAATTGGTAGGCTGCACCTCTGAAACGCCTGTGGAGAAAAAGAAAGATAACGCACCGAAACACACCAACAAAGAAGAGTGAAAATTCTACCTTGAGCCTCTGCTTGCTGTCCTTGTCCCAGAAGTTAAAAGCACCATCAGAGCCTGATGTAGCGAATGTTCCAAACACCTGCGCATAAAGGCCAGTTAACACAGCTTCAAAGGAAGAGATTGACTCACGGGATGAAAATTGATCGCATTCACTGAAAACACGTCGTTCGCTTCCCTGTGGCACTTGAATGTGAAGTTCTTCGATTGCTGCGCGTCGTCAATGTGCTGGATGGCTACTCTGCCTTCGATAGAGCCCACCTGTTTTAGAAGCGAGATTTACGAAACTATATCACCACTGTGCTTAGACAGCTTACCAGAAAACCTTGTTTGTCAGGAAAGGTTGAGACACAGCGCGTCATGAACTTTAAAGGCGATTGAATTCTCTTGAATTCTTGCTGCGCAGGAAGAACAAACAAGTTAGAAAAAAAGACCCGTGTAAAACATTGACGAGAAAAAAGCTTACTCGAGGATTGGTGAGATTGAAGATGCTAATATTTCTGTCCGCTGTTGCGACAACCATCAGGGGATAGCGGACGCTCATCGAGTGACATTTGTCGGGAAGTTGTTGGGTGTGAGCCGGAGACTGAGATCGTAAATCCCAATACCTGCGAGAACATTAGAACCTTCACATTCCTCGAGGAGAAAAAGAAAAAAAAAAAAACGAGAGAAGATGACCATACTTGAGAGTTTTATCCCAGCTCCCTGTAACAAGGAAGTTCATCTCTGGAATCCACGATATCTCTTTCACAGGCGCATCATGCATTCCCACCGTCACTGACTGATTTCCGGATGAAAGAGGCCACATCTTGACCTGTTTATCGCATCCTCCTGAGAAGACAGTCGTGCCATCATCCTTCCAAGCCGAGCACAATACCTGAGAAAAAAGCGAAAAGAAAGCTTAGCTCTCGAGTCAAGGAAAAATCCAATCTTGAAAAACTTAGAACAAGTCTAGATCCTTTTTTTTCGAGCATGTAAAAGACTTACTGGTTGATCATGCTGCGTGGCTGCCTTTGCAACACTGGTTCCATTCGGCTGGATTTCCCAGCATCGCACCTGGTAGAAAAGCGGGTCACAAAACTTGTAGAGGAAGCAATCTCACAAACCTGATTGTCCCAGGATGTGGCGATGAGATGGTTCGCTTTGGGGCTAAACGAGAGGCTGGAGATGCCGTCCGTCGGCCGCTCTGCGATCTGACACACAGGTAAGAGAGATTCTTGCGCGAGATTGATGCGCGTACCTCGAAAGATTTGTTGGGATTGTGAGACGGAGCGTTCTGTGTGACGCCGAAAGTCGCCATAGCGAAGCGATGCTATTAGGGTTCTTCGTCCATCAAAGCCCTCTGTAAATAAAGGCACGCAAAAAGTTTTCCCGCTCGAAAGTTTAGGGTTTTGATCCATCTACACTCGGAATTTCTAGGGTCGCCAAATGGCCGATTTGTTCCCTCGATCTTGCGCATTCTATGGCCGATCGCAGCTTCTTCTTGACAGCGGCTTCAGGAAGATCTCCATGGCGCGCAAGAGTCCGAGCGCTTCTCTGGCTGCCGCGATCTGTGTGGAGATTTCTCAGCTGCTCGGAGAGAATGAATGCGCGGCATTCTCTCTCGATGACCAGAACATCACGGTTGTTTTCGAGGTAAGAAATCCATGAATATATCAGTGACATCGATCGATTTCTTGCTCTTTCCCAGGGCAGTAAGCATAAGAAATTTGCTTCTCTTCTCGGGCGTGAACGCGTGAAGCTAGAGCACCAACAGGTACATGGATTTTAAGAATCTATACCTGTTGAGATTGCTGTGTTGCTCAATCTGGGATTTGTAGAACTTATATCTTGGGAAACTCTCGCAGATGATGCTCGAGCTTGATGGCGAAGAAATCTCTAGTGGCTTACTTCTGCAAGAGGCTGTTCGTCACTCACTGGTCTCTTCATTGGTTAGAAAAGGGTGGACGTTTTTGCGAGGAGGCTCACTTGTATTTGGTACTATTCAGGAAGGATTGCCACTGGAAACTGTGTCTCTGGTAAGATATCCTTTACGAATTGGCACTGCTAAGTTTTTCTTTCTCCTGGACCAGGATGTACATCTCGAATCTAATGGCCATATAGTTTTGCTCGTGTCACCAGACGTGACGAGTATTCATTTCGCTAAGGTATGCATGCAGTCGTGTTTCTCTCAACTTCATTGGATGTTCTAATCTTTTTAGTGCCGCGTTAACACAGATAGTGGAAGGCATGCCAGAGGCCTATAAGAAGCGATTCGAGCAAGAAGAGTTTCTTTCGATAGAAGAGTATTGTCTGCAAGATGACGAGAGAACTATCAACGAGTTTGAGTGCTGCGTTCTTCCATATATGAGGAACGGCTATGCTGTGGGTGAGTGAATATGCGCTCTTTTGAAGGCTAAGACTCTTGTGCCTCCAGGACTTTGCAAAACAATGCGTGGTCTAAACGATGACGACGACATGGAGCTCCGCAAGCAATTGTGGAAGAAGCAGGTCCTTTTTACTACTTGGACAAATATGTGCCTGTATCAACATAGCAAAAGCTTCTTCAGAATGGACTTCAATTTACAGGAGACTGCTACTATGTCAAAATATGCTTCTCACTGGACTCAGGCGAGTTTTCATGGTAATTAACAGCATGTACATGTACATGGCATAACATGTACACTCTGATAGCTCGTACTCAACGTGCAGGTTTCCATCGTCCCTGGTGATGAAAAAATCTGGTTTCTTTCCTGTAGTGCCATCGCTCAGATGCTCTCTAATGCTACGTGTTTTGCAGCACTTTTTTAGTGATGCTGCAGGTGAGACTCTGTGGCTGTTTGCCATTGCGAGATTCTCACAGAGTGTGCTTATTGTCAGCGTGGGATTTCTTTTGTTCTGGGAGAATCGATTTTAAGGTATGTCTGCAGTATTTATGCTCGAGTTTCTAAGCTGTTTACTAGGAGCTTGAAATCGACAGTAACTCCTCGCTGCCATGGACAAGAGCCGCGAGTTTGCCAGATACGCCACGGATTTCCTTGAATGGCATGAAGACTGCATCCATTTCTGCCTTGCAACCGGATAATTTACTCAGTAAGCTCCTCCTCTACTTTACCGGTGAATAATCTGCCTTTCTATTACAGAGACCCTCCGTGCTAGAGTAACCACTGAAGTAGGAAAGCCAGCAGCTAAAGTTTCACAGGCATCATGTGAAAGTATGTTCCACCTTGTCTTGCTGCCATGCTAACGTTCTCGAGCAAATTGAAGCTGCTAGGCCTGTGACGAGGACGCTTCTAGTTCCAAACTTGAAAAGAGGTACTCACTTGGCTAACCTGGTTGATGACCAGTGTTGTTTCAGGTCATTCAACAGTGAGCAAGGCTCAGACAGTGAGTTTCTTTTTTTATTTCGTTAGTCGCTCAATGCAACCTCTGCCGACAGGAGACGAAGAAAGAATCAAGCATGAAAAACAGGTCTCTCGACTTTAAGGCTCCTGCGAATGTTCAAGACAGCCAAACAGATTCTCAGCAAGCGGCAACGAAGAAAAGAACAACTGAGTCTACTGTCTCAAGAATCAAGCCTGCAGAGGTAAGGACGTTTTTTCGTGTTTTCGTTCTTTCTTTCTGAATTGTGCTCTTACTTGGTATTGTTTTTGAGAAGAACACCAAGAAAGTTCATGCCGCAGCCGTCGAGAAGAAGAAGAAACCTGAGAACGAAACCAACGACGCTCTGGTACGCAATCTCATTGGTTTTCGTTGAGCTTGTTTACGATTCGATTTCTTTACAGGTGACGAAGAAAAACGCAGAGGGAAAACTCAAGGACCTGAGCGTGGCTGAGATGAAGAACTTCCTTCGATCTAGAAAGGCCAAACTTAGCGGGAAGAAAGAAGAGCTCATTGCCAGGATCCAGGAAGTACTCGGATGACGGTGAGCCACTCTTTTATTTCATGATCTAAAAGATTGTGTGCAGTGTTTCAATAATCAAAGTTGGCAGTCAAGCTGGTCACAAAAACTCAATTTCTCTAAATCTAAATCACCTGTCCTGCATTCTCGTTGTCACCACCATCTCCGTTTTCACCGCCACCATCTTTCGCCTTCACACCGCCATCCCCGCAAAGCTTCTCCATTGCAGCGATGGCATCGCCTTCATCAACAGTCGCAAATCCTGCCTCTGCTACTTCACCACCAATCTCTCCATTGGCAATCGCTGGAGCCGATTGATTCGCCGCCACGCTTGAGCTTCCATCCGCCTTGAAAACGCTGATCCTCACCCCACTTTTGTTGAGCACCTCCAGGACGCACGCATCGTCGAGCTCCAGGTTGTAGAACTGCGCGACTTTGTTCCAGCCGCCACTGAAAGCTCGGTTTGCCGCGAGCCACTTCACATCCCACGGCTCTTTCACCGCGTTGCTCTCCACAGTCAGCATCTTGTTCTCGTGCGGGAGCTTCTCCGCAAAATCCTTTGGAATGGTCTGTGCGAAGAGAGAGAGAGAGAAAGGAGAGATCAGGATCACATACAAAATGGTAAGAACAAGCCAAAGATCTCTTACCAAGTAATAACATGGATGTAAGCAACTCTTCTTCATCACGATGGCGGTGCTTGGATTGGTGCTTGGAATGGTAGCCTTGAACGCCTCGGCTCGAAGGAGCGCCGGAGAGTCACAAGGAACATCCTGATTCTTCTTCTTCTTCTTTCCACTGCTCTTGGCGGTGGGCTCCTTGTTCTTCTCGCTGGATGACTCCATCTTGGAGACTTCCTCTTGCTTCCTCGTCTTCCTCGTCCTCTTTGGAGAATCGATCTTGGCCTTCTTTGGGGCAGGCGAGTCATCTTTGGCATCTGGAGATGGTGCTTTCGCTGCTGGAACGCTCTTCTGGGAGGACCTCGTCATCCTGGAAGATCGCGGAAGAGCATCGCTAGCTTTGGCGGCAGAGACTAGAGGAGTGAAAGGCTCCCCTGCTGGATCCTCTGGCGGGATCTTGGTGACGACGAACTTCAAGCTGGAGCCGTCCTCCAGATGAACCAGGCAATCCTTGACGACCACTTCCATCGCCGCTGGCAAATCGTCTCTGGATCGCTTGAGCGCCGAGGAAGAGGAAGCGCTCTTATAGGCGGGAGCTCCCACGCCTCCTTCCTTGGCCGATCCATCGCTGCCGAAGATCTCCAGGGCGAAGCGCCCGGCCGATTGATGACGGAAGACAAGGCAGTCGCCCTCGTTGAGCGCATTCCCGAGCCAAAACTCCTTCCAGCCCGTGGTGAAGGATCCGGAGCTTGCGTCGACTTGCCAGTCCCTGCCGCCATGCGCCAGAGCCACGGTGCCGCCGAAAGCTTCGTTGCGGTGCCTCTCATAGACTGGCCCGGGGATCGCCTGGAAACAAAACAAACAGCAAACAAAACAGAGATTTCATACAATGTGGGGTGCGAAGAGGAAGACGAAGGCAGTACCATGGCAGCCATGTCCGAGCTCGTCACGGTCTTGGCGAAGGACATCTTCTTTCTTGGGAGAAGTCGGAGCCTCGCAAAAATCCCTCCCAGGAGCCCTAAACGAAGCAGCTAATTTAAATAGTGAAATTAGTTTTAGGGTATTCAGTTTCCCTTTTTTGATATTCTTTATTTGAATTCTACGTGTTGACATTTTTTACATACTTGAAAAAGGTTTTAATTTTTTTTAATTAGCTGGTAAAAGATGACATAAAGTAAAAATGTAGTAAATGGGATATTTTCCTCACTCACCCAAGGTAGGTGCTAGAATAATTTATTGAAACATTCTTTAGAGTTCCTAATGTTGAAATAAGTAAATAATGATGTTTTGCTCACCTAAACTTGTGCTGAAAATAAATGTGTTGAAAGTAAATTTATAAAGTTTATTAAATGTTTCAAATTGGTTATTTAATGTTCATGTATTGTTAACTCTAAAAACCATTTGATATTGTTTGCCAATCAGTGTATATTTGAAATCCTTAACCAAGTAGTGTAGATTGATCAAAAGAGTATAACACTGCAATTATAATAATTCCAGAAAAAAAATGATTGTAGAGAGTTGTTAAAACCCAAGTTAAATTACTAAACAATTGAATTATAAAAAAGAAAGTACAAATCAAAGGATTGGTATTCAAACATATGTTTTAATAGCATGCTCTAAAATTCATTGATTGTGTGCAAGTGTGTCATGAACAAAGAATCAAGATACCTACAAATATAAAATATGAAAAATTATATAAGAGATATTTATTCTATCAATAATAAATAAAGAAAATAAAATTAAAAAATACCAAACTGGAGCAAAGAAGTAGCATTGATACTTGATTATTCATCTTCTTACTATATGAAATTGAGCAAAAAGAAACTTTTCCATCAAAAGAAATCAGAAAAAAGATGATTCCCAAGTGAATATCAAATAAACCTCTCATTCTCACTGAGGCTGATGCTAATATTCATGTCTATGAAAGTTTATCTCCTAACATCTAATTTCCATGATTCATATATTTAATAAATTTTAGCAATTATCATTGTAGATTCTTTGAGCGAAATATTGTGCTTTCGTTTCCCAATTTCTAACCTTGATAATTTCGCAGACTCATCCTGCTGGGCGGAAGATTTCGCAGCAGCTGGATTCTCCCCGGAACCAATACAGACCCAATGACATCATAAGAACAATGACATGCAATCCAATGCCGTCTCCAATGTGGTTCTGGCATGCAAGAACATCCTGGTGGACTGATAATGCAACAATCATAACTTTCGGGATCGCAGCTAGCTGAATCTGCTCAGCCGTAAAATCCTCATTCCCAAGACTGTCACAGCCGCTTCAGCGCAGGCTGACAGCCACACGCAATGCCGCTTGGTTTCCTGACCTTCTCCACTAGTCTCGTCAGCCAGTAGACAAGGCAAGCACACCTGTGCAACTCCTCTGGCCCGCAGACTTACATTACTTCCATAAGAGAGAGACCTCCTATCTATTGAACAGAGTGTCTTCTAACTTTCTTCTTTTTGATGGTCGCTCGACCTGCTGCTCGCTAGCATGGACAACCATCAGCTGCTGCTGCAGATGCTTCACCCAGGGAGAAGATGGAGGGAGCATCGCCTTATGAGTGTGTAACCAAGCGAGAAATGGCCTTATGCTGAAATCTGCCCTTGTGTACAATGCCCACTCTGGAGTCGGAAGATCTTGCAACACAAATTTTAGATACTGATCCACGAAAGCTGGATTATCTGTGGACGTTCCACAGTTTTGGTTGATGTCTAAGGCCCCAGCGTGAGCTGCTACGAAATAACCTGGACTTTCCATGGGTGAAACGGCACCCCCGGAAACACCTGTTTGTAAACAACATAAATTTGAGATTTCAGAAAAGTAATGTAGCTAGAACTACCAACCTGGTACGGTGGGACAAGTATGACCGACAAAGCATGATGTAAGTGCTTCAACAAATCCAGCAGAAACACATTGAGCCCCATCCGGTATTCCTCGCAGAACGGTTTGAAACTGTTCAAGAAGCCATTTCTTAGCTGTTTCTTCAGCACGCTTTAAATCACCCTATAAATCCAATAAAATCCAGGTTAAAAACCAAATTTCATTAATGAGATTTAAGTACCTCGTATTGTGCCGTCCATTCCTGAATATTGTCCCACAGGACTCGCCAATAGACACTCCAAAGCCCACCATTTTCTGGATTAGCATTCTGTTTTAACTCTCGTGTTGCTCGTCTTAAGTAGCCAACCGCATCAGGGTACCCAAATACCGTGAGAGGCAAGTCCTTTTGTGGCGAAGAAGGTAAAAGAAAGCATGGTAGAGTCGTTCCCTCCACCTACAAAACAAATGTTTTAGTAAATTGAAATCAAAAGAAGCACACCTTACTTTGAGAAATGCTATGTCAGATCCAAATTCAGGGCACTCCTTCCTGGTACTGTAAACAGAGGTGGCATTTCCTTGAACTGTGCAGCGAAAACCAAATTCACGAACTTTTTGAATGGGCACAAATTCCCCTGTTCAAAAACTTTAGTCCAAGTTATGGTATCCAATCTGGTGGTGGTGTACTTACCTGCATAAACTAGCACCTCCTTCAATTGCCACTTCATGTTCTTCCCATCTTTAAAAGTGACCAAATGGCCAGCTGTTAGAAGCATATGCTGTGAAACTGCAAAAGCAGTGCCGTTTGTGGTTTCCTCATCCCCTGAACCTCAAATTTAGAATAGAGAAAAATAAAAAATGAAACCACTCACCAATGTGATTTTGAAAGATTGAAAGAACTCTGTGTGTACTTTTCATGTTTTCAATCCCAACGTATACTTGTTGCTTCATCCTTGTAGTGGGACTGCAATCAGGACTCAAAGGAATTTGTTTTGGGAGCTCTCCTTGAGCAGGAGAAAAAGGGTACATATGACCTGTCTTCCAATCACATGCATAAAAACGGGAGAACTTGCCTGGATATTGAGAATCCTTGCTGATTATAAGCCTTTCTGGATAAAGATCAGAAATTGACCACTCACGACAGTCACGGCTAGTAACAGCAGCTGCTACTGTGTTGCCTTCTGGATCATTAGTCTGTGAAACTCCATCATCCAGATCCTCAACATCCCCAGCATCATTTCCTGTGCCCACATCCACATCCGCATTGTCCAGTGTGAGTCCACCACAACGGGCTGTTCTCCAGAGGTTCATTTCTGCCTGACAATCGATGAGAGAAGGCTATCCTGGCTTGAATAGTTTCCGCGCAGTTTGCACTTGGATGCCTTGGCGCTTCCACTTGTTGCCGACCAATATGCTGGCTTGAATAGTTTCTGCGCGGTTTGCAGAACCCACTTGGATGCCTTGGGGCCTGCACTTGTTGCCAACCAAAGGTGTACCAAAGATGACCAAAGAAAATCTCGCGGTACCTGAAGCAACTAAGGAATCAGGCAAGGAGCAAGATCAAGAAACCGAGATCGACTAGAATCCAAGAAAGAACACCCCCCCGGTGCTGGTGTTGAACCCTAAGCGCTGCCAATCTTCAATCTATAAAATCGTCGCCCTAAAATAGGCCCTTTTTATAGAAAACGTGCTATGCTAGGTTTTAGTTAATTTATAGGCTGAACAAGGTATGTCCTTTTTTTTTTAATTGTCATTTTTTTGCATCGTAGATAAGATAAAAGACGGGATGATTGATTCGCCTTATTTTAATCAACTATATAAATTTATTTTGCTATTGTTTTAAGCAGCAGTTTATTTAAAATGAATGTCTTCATTTGGAATTTACATAACTATGCTAGGACATGCTTCAGTTCTTCGAGATGGCAGTTGCTTGGATTGCATATGCCCATGAGTGGCATCTGCTCAAATCGATTATAAGACATTATATTTGAAATGCCCAAATATAACGGTTGAGCTCAGCACGCTCAACCGTTCTGATGAAATGGAATTGTTTGATCGGAGGTTTTAGGAATGGATTGCAGAGAACACTTGGAGCTCATGAAGTCATGCAGGACCGCAACGATGGCGAGCGAGATTTTCATGGCATGGAAACACGTCTTCGCACTTTCGACCAGCCCGGCACCGCTGTAAGCCGCGAGAATTCCCACAAACGTCGCAGCATCGGGCTTGTGGCCCTCGTCTTGCAATCGGTGAAAAGTTCTAGAAACCGTTTCCATGGCGACTGTATCCAGCCATGAGAGAGTTCTACACGGCGATGTCTCTACTGGCGATGGAGTCTTGCAAGAGTACGAGCTCGGCATCGCCTATGCTCCCGCATCGACCGTAGAAATCCACGAGAGCTACGAGCAGAGCCAAGGATGATTGGATTCCACCTCTCCGGCAAATCTCGCCATGGAGTTTCTTCCCGGCCTGTTTCATGTCCTCGAAGAGAGCTATGGCGAGCTCGGGCTCACCGTTGTGGACGTATCCAGACATGAGAGACGTCCACGAGATTAGATCGCGTCGCGGCAAGGCATCCACGAGCATCGTCCATGCTTCCACACTTGGAGTAGACTTCGATCATAGCATTGGCCACGAACAAGCACGCTTGGTGGTGTTTAGCTGCTCGAGAATGGATCGCCATAGCAGTCTCTAGAGCCACCACCTTGATCATAATCTTCCCATGATCTTCTTCTTCCTTCTCGGCGATGCTCAAGCAAGAGCTCCAAGGCCGCCACAAAAGTGTGAGAGTTTGGAGTGCAGCAAGGATCCATTCGCTGAAAGATTTGCAGCCCAGCAGCGCCATCTCGATTGGGAGCGTGGCCGGCGATGAGAGCAGTCCACGAGACGACGTTGCGGTGAGGCACTCGATCGAAAGCTCTCTGCGCATCTTCCATGCTGCCAGATTTTTCGTAGGCGTCAATCAGGCTGGTGGCGACGAGGACGTCGTCCGCGCAGCCAAATCGCGAGGCTTCTCGGTGTAGCGCCATGACGATCTCCAGAGATCTTGCTTTGCCCATCGCGGCGGTGGATTCCTCCTTTGATCCCAAGGCACAGCACGCCTTCAATGCCGCGAGGAAGTGAAGCGATCTGGAAGAAAGCCAGAGGCACCGCTGGAAGAGATCCAACGCGAGAGACGATTGCCCATTCTCGGCAATCCCGCGATGAGAGAATTCCACGACACCAGATCGCGCCGGCGCACCTGGATGCCTCGCCCATGCTCCCGCACTTGGCGTACATCCCCAGCACCGCATTCGCGATATAGCTGTCCGATTCCACTGCGCCGCAGTGGATCGCATCCTCTCGGACGCTCCTGCCCATTTCTAGAATGCGATTTCTGGAGCATCAAAGCCCTAGTCGAATCTAGCGAATATTTTATTGTGACCGTTGACCAAATTCCATTCTAGCGAATATTCTATTGTGACCGCTGGACCATATTCGAATCGGGTATATAGGGTTTGTGGCTTCCATTAGTGCCACGTATGCGTATCCACATTGCGCTATGGCGTCGTCGCGACAGACATCCTCTCTCCGGGTTTTAGGGTTCTTCCGGATGCTCCGGGGCGACCCCTACGCGGCAAAGGTGCGAGGCTCTCCTCCAGCTGTGATGAATTTGCGGGAAGAATGAGCGCCGCATTGGGTGCCCTGGGAGGGCAGCTCGTCGTCTGCCCTCACAATTCTTGCTGGAGATGGCCCAGGGGCGATGCCGACTGCGCGGCTGCATCCACCTCGGCGATTTTCGGGCTCTCCAGCCCCGGCGCGCAGCTCAGATCGCGGCTCCGGCAAGGCGGCGGCTCCAGGAGGCATTCCAAATGCATGGCATTTGCCGAGGAGCGCGTCCGGGTGTTGGATGCCGATGGCGCCAGTGCCGCCGACGACGATGGCGGTGGCAAATCGGCCAAGCCCAGCGCAGGAGCTGCGAGCGATGGTGAGAGTATGCCGCTGCTCAAGCCATCGCCAAAGCCGATGATCCCACTCTCGCGGCCCAAGCCAGTGATGATGCCTCCTCCACCTCCTCCTCCTGCGAATGGAGGCGCTGCGAGCAACCAGATGAGAAGGCCAGGAAGTGGAAGTAGTGGTAGCTTTGCGCAAGTTTATCGGCCCAGGGAGAATGCTCCTTCTGCCGCGCCATCGCAGCAGGGCCATGGCGGTGGAGCTATGCAAAACTTGGACAAAGTGTTACAGAGCGCGGAGAGGCTGGCGAATTCTCCTCCCACGAATTCGCCAAGTTCTAGGCCGGTGATGGGAAGGCAGCAATCCTTCCAGCAGCCAGGAACGATGGGTGCTTCTTCGTCGTTCCAACAACAAGGTGGATTCCAGACGAGGTGGAAGAAAGGAGATCCCGTGACGCCGGTAAATGGTGCTAACAGCAGCGCTGTGAAGAGCAAGCCCGTTGCTCCAAAGACTCCCCCACAAACGAATTTTCCAAAGCCCCCAGAGAGCTCGACCGCTGTGAAGGTAAGCCAAGACTTACCAAAGGCTCCTCCACAGACAGATGTATCAGCGTCGAAGCAAGCTCCTCCTGCGGCTCCATTTCCAAGAGTTTCTTCGTCGTCCCAAACTCCAGCTCCTGCTCCACCTCCAGGAGTTTCTTCGTCGCCACAAACTCCAGCTCCGGCTCCATCTCCAGGAGTTTCTCCGTCGTCACAAGCTCCGGCTCCGGCTCCGGCTCCATCTCCAGGAGTTTCTCCGTCATCACAAACTCCAGCGCTGGCTAGAGCTCCTGGACTTTCAGCACCACCAAGAACTCCGATTCTCAGCTCGCCACCTTTGATGCGACCTCCGCCCGTTTTGAGAAAAGAGCCTCTCATGTCAACGAAGCCGATGATTGCTCCAAAGCCAGCGGCACCGCCGGTGGCGCCCAAGGGACCGAGATTAGTGGATACTTTCAGGAAGGTGGTGGAACCGAGCGCTACACCTCCCCCTCCTCCTTCGGGTCGCTCTTCTTCGACAAAGAGTGACGAGGCAACGAAGAAGCAGACAGGTCTCAAAGACAAAGACACTGGAGCTGGAGGTCCGCCATCATCGAAGCCGGGTTTAGCGAACAAGGCCAGGGATGACAAGCGGAAAAGATCGGAAGTGATGGATGGAGCTAAGCGCAGAACCGTTGCTCGTGACGAGAATGCCATGGACGACGCGGAAGAGATTGGTATCAGCATTTCAGGTGTGAGTCCGGCACGCAAAGGCAGGAAGTACTCGAAAGCTAGAAGGAAAGCCGAGCGAGCAGAGGCTGCAAAGGCCTCGGCTCCGGTGAAAGTGGAGATTTTGGAGGTGGGGAAGCAGGGAATGACCGTGGGAGACTTGGCGAGTAAGCTGGCTATCAACGAAGCGGCTGTTGTCAAGGTCTTGTTCATGAAGGGAATAGCAGTGACGATCAACCAGATGCTGGATGAAGAATCTGTGAAAATTGTGTGCAATGAATACGAAGTGGAAGTTATCGAAGCTGGCTCTGTCAAAGTCGAGGACATGGCCAAGAAGCAGAAAGAGTTCCTGGACGAAGAAGACTTGGAGTCACTGGAGAGACGTCCACCAGTGGTAACAGTCATGGGACATGTTGATCATGGAAAGGTAATTACGAGAACTTTGATTTCGATCTTCTTTTTTGTTTTTGACACTTTGATTTTATTTTGTGCTACAGACTTCGTTGCTGGATTACATCAGGAAGACAAAGGTATTTCTTTTTTCTTTCTTTTCTTTCCTTTTTGGTTTCTCATGTTAGAAGTTCTCTGCATTCATGATTCAGGTGGCTGCCGGAGAAGCTGGAGGAATCACACAAGCAATTGGTGCATATCAAGTGCCTGTGACAGTCGATGGGGAGGAGCAAACGTGTGTTTTCCTTGACACACCGGGGCATCAGGTACATATTGTGTTTTACGTCTTCTTTGGAAATGCTAAAGGCTTTCTTGTTCTCGTCAACAGGCTTTCAGTGCTATGCGAGCTCGTGGTGCACGAATCACAGACATTGCAATTATCGTGGTAGCAGCAGATGATGGAACCCGTCCACAGACTTTGGAAGCAATCGCTCACGCCAAAGCTGCCAGGGTTCCAATTGTCGTAGCTATCAACAAGGTATTGTTTGTATATGAGATCATCGTTCTTGTGACTAAACTCTTCCTTTCGTTGCAGATTGACAAGCCGGGAGCAAACGTTGATCGTGTCAAGGAAGAGCTTGCAAAAGCGGGTGTAGTTCCACCAGAGTGGGGTGGAGAAGAGCAGATGGTTTCGGTTAGTGCTCTTACAGGAGAGAACATTGATTCGTTACTGGAGACGGTCATGCTTGTTGCCGAGGTACTGTGCAGTAAAACTTGTAGCTTGGAGCTCATGTTTTCTTGCTTTCCCGCTAGTTGCAAGACTTAAGATCCAATCCTCACCGTGAGGCCAGTGGCACAATCATTGAAGCAAGCTTAGACAAGGCAAGGGGACCGGTTGCTACGTTGCTCGTGCAAAATGGTACACTAAGCAAAGGAGACGTGGTTCTCTGTGGTGAAAGCTATGGAAAGGTAAACTTCTAATCAAGCATAGCTACCGGAACAACGTTCTTATTTTTTTCGTTTTCAGGTGCGAGCATTGTTTGACGAAAAAGGGAAGTCGGTCAATGAGGCTGGTCCATCAACCGCAGTGCAGGTTTTCTTCGATTCTTGCTTAAGATCTTTTAGCATCGACATCTGACTGCGATTATCTCAGGTGATTGGACTGAGCAGTGTACCAGTTGCTGGATACGAATTTGAAATCCGCGACACGATTGATGATGCTAGAGACGCTGCTGCCGAATACGCAGAACGCATGCGTGATTCTCGTCTAGCCTCTCAAGCTAGCGAAGGAAAGGTGACCCTTGCGAACCTTGCGAGTGCTGTAGCGTCTGGAAAGGACTCCGGTGTTGAGTCACACCAGCTAAACATTGTTCTCAAAGTTGACGTTCAGGTACCGGCATTGTTTTCCTTGCTCGTTCACTCGTTTCATACGCTTGTGTTGTTTGATCTCAGGGAACTGTGGAGGCCATCAGGGAGGCGCTCCAAGTTTTGCCGCAGGACACTGTCCAGCTTCGGTTTTTGATGCAAGGCACAGGCGATATAACAGCCAGTGACATAGATTTGGCGATTGCGAGCGGAGCAATCGTGATTGGTTTCAACGTACGCACGCAGCCGACGGTGAGGGACAAGGCTGACAGCGAAGGCGTTGAGATTCGTTTGTACAAAGTCATATACGAATTAGTAGATGACATGAGGCAAGCAATGGAGGGTCTCTTGAAGCCCATCCAGGTACATGGTTCTTTCCATTTCCTCTCTCGTGAATTCTCCCATCACTCACACTTGTATCGCAGGAGGAAGTTCCGATTGGAAAAGCGGAGGTTCGAGCGGTTTTCACGAGTGGAAGTGGACGAGTGGCGGGATGCATGGTGACGGAAGGAAAGCTGACCAAAGGCTGCGGTGTTCACGTCAAGCGAGGGAAGAAAACCGTGCACACTGGGAGTTTGAGCTCGCTTCGACGAGTAAAAGACGTCGCCAAGGAGGTATCGAAGTTTCTCTTTGCTCGCTACTTCCAATTCGATCATGGTCCTTCTTCGATTTCCAGGTTGATGCTGGTTTGGAGTGTGGTGTTGGCGTGGATGGCTTCAACGAGTGGCAAGATGGCGACACCATACAGGCATTCGACAAAGTGGAGAAGAAGCGAACTCTCGAGGACGCGTCCGCGACTGTGGCGGCTGCTCTAGCCAGCGAGAAGAAATGATTGAATCGAGTGGCAGAGGAAGGGAAGAATCGGATCCGAAGAGATCGAATCGCAGTGGAATCGATTTAATGCTGCCGCCATTTCCAATAGATCGATGATATCGCTTCGCGCGATTTCTTGTAACTTTTCAAACATTTAAATGCGAGGGCTGCGATGAGCACGCCAATGGACGTTCCAGATCTTCTGTCTTAAGAATCAAGCTTCCTTAGTTAGTGCTAGTCCGGAGCCACTTTATTCGATCTCAAAGCGCGAGCTTTATCACGATTCGTATTTAAATCTGGCGGGCCACGGCGGACGCTTCTGATTTCGCCACATCAGCAAGGAACTGACGCTTGGGATTTTGACACCTTGGAATTCGAAATGTACCATCTTTTTTCTACCCTTAAAAGAGGCTTGGGTTCTTGGAGAATCGAAGAGGGCGCGCGCTCGGGTTTGATCGAGGCGATCGATTCTTTGGCGGCGGTGTGAGGATCGTGGCGATGCCACTGGAGCTGTAGGTTCTAACGGGGGTTTTGCTGTCACAGGAGGAGCAATGCCACCGCGGCGGGGAGGCGGGCGAGGCGGCGGACGAGGAGGAGGCGATGGACGGGCGCCATCGCAGGAATGGCGTGGTCAAGGAGAGGAATTTCAGCAGGGAAGAGGTAGAGGTAGAGGCGGGAGAAATCCCGACGGTCGCGGGCAAGGAGGAAGAGAGGGCGGCGGCGGGCGTGGAGCTGGAGCTGGAGGAGGTGGTCCTTCTCAAGCTCCGATTGAGGCCTTCCCTCCACTAGGCGGCCGTCGGCAGCAACAAATTCCTCCAGAGACCTCGCAGCGGCCGCGTACCATCGAAAGCGCTGCTGGATCCCACCGAGGATACGGTACGCTCTTTTTCTTTGTTCTTCTGGAGCTTTACTACTTGCTGTGTAGGAGGAGGATCTTCTGGGGCTGCTCCGTACGTTCCTAGGCCTCAAACCATCGATAGTTCTGGGTCTCAGCGTGTCCCTGGAGGATCTGGTATCGTTTTTGTACCTCGGGCATACCAAAGTTGTGATCTTTTGTTTGCTTTTGTTGTAGGAGTGGCTTACAACCAGAGCGCTGCTGGATCCCAGGCAGGACATGGTACGCATCTCTTTCTTTGTTCTTCTGGAGCTTTACTCCTTGAATTTCTTGCTGTAGGAGGAGCATCTTCTTCGACTGGTCCTAGGCCTCAAACCATCGAGAGCTCTGTCCCTGGAGGATCTGGTACGTAAATTTTCATCCCTCGGGCATGCCAAAGTTGTGATCTTTTGTTTGCTTTTGTTGTAGGCCAGAGCGCTAGTGCCGACTCGCTGGTTCCTCGAGTAAAAGATTTGGACGTGAAGGAAACTCCTGCTGGCCCGAGTGCTCCCGTTCCTAGCAGCAGCACTGGTGATGTTCCTACCTCCTCGAAAGCACTTGCACCTCCTAAAAGGCCTGATCGAGGAACTGTTGGACAGAAGGTTACCATCAGAGTGAACCACTTCAAGATGAAGGTGAAAGATGGACCCATCTTTCACTACGACGTATCCATTCATCCGGCTGTTGGCTCGAAAGGGATTGCTCGTGCTCTGGAGCGGCAGCTCGTGTCACAGTATCGGGCTTCAGAGCTAAACAACCTTCTTCCCGTCTACGATGGAAGCAAGAGCTTGTACACGGCGGGGCCACTTCCGTTTGAGCAGAAGGACTTCAAAGTTACGTTGCCGGCAGAGGAAGAAGGGCGCAGGACCCGCGAGTTCAAAGTCACGATCAAGTTTGCCGCGAAGCTGGACCAGTATCAAATGGACCTCTTCCTCGAAGGCAGAGGTGCGGTCCTACAAGCCCCGTATGAGTTCTTGCAAGCTTTGGACGTGGCTTTGAGAGAGTGGCCCATGAAGTCGTACGTTCCCAGTGGACGTAACTTCTTCGATCCGTCATTCGGGAGGCTGGCACTAGAAGGTGGTTTTGAGGCCTGGAAAGGATTTTACCAGAGTGTTCGTCCAACCATGCAAGGCCTCGTGCTGAACGTCGATTTGTCTGCAGCAGCATTTTACGAGGCATTGCCAGTTCTCGAGTTCCTCAAGAAGTCACTCCCGTACTTCGACCCAAGCCGAGGCTTGTCGGACGGTGATCGAGCCAAGGCCAAAAATCTCTTGAACCGGCTCAAGGTCGAAGTCACGCACAGGAACATCCCTCGGAGATACAGGATTTCGGGACTGTCTTTGCGGCCAACAAAGGCGTTGACGTTCACAACTGATTCTGGACAGGAGGTGAAGGTTGTGGACTACTTTTGGACGACGTACAAGCATAAGATCCAGTATCCCGAGTTGCCTTGCCTCGAGTTGCAAGGAAGGAAAACTACTTATCTGCCTATGGAAGTGTGCAAGCTGGCTGCCGGTCAGAAATATCAGGGAAAGCTCAACGAGAGGCAGACAACAAACATGCTGAGGTTCACGTGTCAGATTCCTGCTGTTCGAGAGCAGAACATAAAGACTCTTATGAGCAATGTTCAAGACTTTCAGCGGTAAGTTTTCTTTCATATGAAGTTCTGCGCTCTTGTTCTTGACACGCTTGTCTTTTTTGCTTCCAGGAATGATTATGCTGCGGAGTTTGGAATTCAGGTGGCTAAGTCGATGACGTCTCTGCACGCAAGGGTTCTTCCAACTCCGAGTCTGAGGTATAGCAGCAACCGGATCACGCCATCTGATGGCGGCTGGAACATGATGCGGTCTAGGTTTCTTCGAGGGGGAGTAATCCGCCGCTGGACTCTCGTCAACTTCGCGAGATTAGCAAGACAGGACGTGGATGCTTTCATCAGTGAGTTGATCACGCGGTGCGCGGCGGTTGGAGTTCAGATGGATCCTCCCGTGATCCCTCCTTCCAGCGGTCGGCTGGAGCAGTATGATACGCTACTCCGGAATGCCGTCAGGAATCACGCCAGCAAAAGCAAGCCCGGGGAAGGTCTTCAGCTGGTAGTTTGTCTCATGGACGCCAAGCACCAGATTTACGGGGACCTGAAGAAGCTGTGCGAGACGGAGCTCGGGCTCGTGACGCAAGTGTGCCTTAAGAAAAATGTGATGAAGGAGTACAACAGTTTGTCACAGTACCTGGCCAACCTCGCGATGAAGATCAACGTCAAAGTTGGAGGCCAGAACATGGATCTGGCGCAGGATCTGCGACTCATGGTTCCATCGATTCTCGGCAATCCAACAATCATCTTTGGAGCTGATGTCTCTCATCCCATGGCTCGCGACGACACGAGTCCCTCCATCTCCGCGGTGGTGGCGAGCATGGACTGGCCATCGGCGGTCAAGTATCTCGCTCGCGCGAGATCTCAGAGGGGCAGGGTGGAGATGATCGAGCACCTGCATGACATGGTGGTCGACCTCATGAGGGCGTTTTTCACTCACACCAGACTCAAACCGGAGAGGCTTCTCTTCTTCCGGGATGGTGTGAGCGAGGGCCAGTTCTCCGACGTCCTGAACAACGAAGTGCAGGCAATCCGGAGGGCGTTCCTTACCCTCCAGCCGAATGGCGACTACTGTCCCCAGATAACTTTCGTGGTCGTCCAGAAGCGTCACCACACGAGGTTCTTCCCGGCGGACAGTAACGTGGTGAGCAACAACGTGAGACCGGGGACCGTTGTGGACACGGAGATCACCCATCCTCGAGAGTTCGACTTTTACCTTTGCAGCCACAGGGGTCTCCAGGGAACCAGCCGGCCGACGCACTACCACGTCCTGCTCGACCAGAATGGCTTCACGGCCGACCAGCTCCAGACGCTCGTCAACAGCTTATGCTACACTTATGCCCGGTGTACCAAGGCGGTCTCGGTGATACCTCCGGCGTACTACGCTCACCTGGTGGCCTACCGGTCTCGGCTCCACGTCGACAGTGTTGCCGCTGGAGCTGGATCTTCTTCTGCTCGCGCTGCGGCCGCGGAGTATAGGCTGCCTGAGGTACTTCCTGAAGTCCGGGACTACATGTACTACTGCTGAGAGAGCTTCTTCCGGGTTTGCAGTTTCTCTCTCTCTCTTCCTTTACTTCCGAGATTTCTCATTTTGCGAGTTTTAGCTGGCTTCTAACGAGACACGAGTTTGGCTTTTCTTTTCTTTTTTTCAATACAACGTTAGATCTTGGGTTGGAATGTGAAAACTGGGCATGACTGTATATATCGGCCCTTTCACCTTTAATACCAAGAGTTAATCTTTGGAATAAGCTTGAAATTTATTAATTATGGTCTTAATTTCATATTAACACATAAGATAAACTCTAAGGTGACTTCTCAAGTTTGCCAATTGGCTCGTTCTTGGTGCCGACTGAAGTGTACTCAAGAAGCCCAAGTTCTCTACACAAAGTTTTTCTATAGTAACACTAGTGTGATAAGAGCCCAACAAGGTGGCGATGCATGGAATTCTCCTCCCAAGTCTTGTGGCTACAAAGCCAAGACTTTGAACTTCCTGTTTTCAAGAGAACATACTTGCTGAATGCAAGAACGCAGCCCCAGACTTCCAACAAAGTGGAGATGAAGTTCAGTCTATAGTGAAACGCTTGTGTGTGACGAGAAACTCAAGAGCGTCCCTTTCTTGCACTGAGCACCGTCACCAAATACTTTGCAAAACTTGATGACCCAATCCGCCCAGTTCTGGTTGTGAGATCATAGCTATAGATCGGGTGGTCATAGCGGACGGACGGACGCGAGAATGATCGCTTGGTCGAGGAATTCGCGAAGGCTTAAGCGTCAGAATTGGCCACCATAGCTTTGGAGAGCTTGTGCGACCATTTCAGAGGGCTCTTGAAAGCCATGGGCATAGCATCTTAGAACAAAGCTAGCATTGAATTTTTCCATGCATGGCCATAAAGTAAACGTCAGTTTGACCACTTTGCCCTAATCTAATGAGAGGGAAAGGAATGGCGTGGCAATGGCGTGTCAAGAGGCTCTTGCCACAAATCAGTGCAGCCACTCCTTCCTCGCAGGCGCTAGATCATCATGTGGATCGTCGAGGTAAGCTAGCTCCACCGGCGCTGCGCAATCGATTTTTCTGATGTATCTGTGATTCCAGGCCTACAGAACGCTCGCATTCTCGCTCTATGGCACGCTCCACTTCACTCGGTCGGCCTTCCTGTGAGTTCCCTGTGTGATACTTCGGTGTGTTCCACCGTGATTGATCGTGATTTCTTGCAGGAAGCATGCTGCCGGTTTTAAGAAAGAGGACTTGGATGTGGATATGGCTGGGAAGAACTGTGTGGTCACCGGGGCCAATACAGGAATTGGATTTGCATCAGCGGAAGCTCTAGCTGCCAGGTTTGAAGCATTCGTTGGATCTCTTACTAGCAAGGAAACGAGGAACTCTTTCTCTTTTGTGTTTCAGGGGTGCGAACGTCTTTCTAGTGTGTCGCAACAAAGAGAAAGGCGAGAAAGCTGTCTCGGAGATCAAGTCAAAGACTGGGAATGACAAAGTTGAGCTGGAGGTGAGTTGTTTCTTTCTTTGTTTTACGATGAAGGAGAACAATTTCCTTGTCTCTCCAGCTTTGTGATTTATCTTCTCTGAAAGAAGTCAAGGAGCTGGCCACGAGATTTCTCAGCATGGACAGGCCGCTCTATGTTTTGGTACACGCGATTTTTTTGTGTGAGAAACAATGTTGTGACTTTGGCTTTACAGGTGAACAATGCGGGGCTGATGGAACACGAACGCAAGACTACAGTAGACGGGTGAGTGATTCTTCTTCGGTCTTTTAGTTGCTGGAGTAGATGACGATTCTTGCTACTGTTGTTACAGGTTGGAGTTGAACTTTGCAGTGAATATAGCTGCTTCGTATACTCTCACGGAACTTCTCATGCCTGCGCTTGAGAAAGCAGCTCCGGAGTCGCGAGTAGTCACTGTATCGTCTGGAGGCATGTATGGAAGTTCACTCACCGAAGATTTACAGGTATTCAGCTCAGCCTATCGCTTTTTTATGACCCTTGATCGGCTTTGTGTGTTGTTCTTTCCCAGTATTCAGACGACAAGTTCAATGGTCTTGTCCAGTATTCGCGTAACAAGAGACTCCAGGTAGTCATGAGTTTTTCTGGGAAGCCTAAACTACTTTCGTGATTTTCAGATTGCAATGACCGAAAACTGGGCAAAGTTGTATGGATCCAAAGGTGTCGGCTTTTATACGATGCATCCTGGCTGGGTCGACACAGAAGGGGTTGCAAAGAGCCTCTCGTCATTTAGAGAGAAGTAAGCTCCTCGATCAAGAGACGAACTTTAGCTGACTCCATCCCGCAGATTCCAAGGCAAGCTCAGGACTATCGACCAAGGCGCTGACACAATAGTGTGGCTGTCGCTCCAGCCAAACAGCAAACTAAAGTCGGGCGAATTCTACTTCGATCGTGCACTAGCTCCCAAGCACCTGGCTGCGTGTGGAACTGGCTACAAACCCCAGCTGGCCGCCAAAATCATCTCCAAAGTCCGTCAGATCTGTGGCCTCGACGCTCCAGTCAGAGAAGAGAACGTCGCTTGAGGAACGAAGAAGATCCCCGAAAAATAAGACCTTCGCAATGGTCAGGTATTGACGAGCTTTGCTTTATTTCACACAATCATATCACACAGTATTTACAAATCAATTTACAGGAATGTGTCATGCGCTCTCTTTACGAGATACTCCGGAAGGATTTTGGTACCATCTTATCGACGAAGAGAATGCCTTCCAAGTGATCGCTTTCGTGCTGAAGTGCTCGAGCCAGCCAGCCTTTGGCGTCAATCTGGATCTTCTCGCCCCTCCTGTTCAATCCGGTAGCTTTCACTCTCGAGAATCTTTCGACGAGAGCACAGTAGCCACAGACGCTGCAAAGAGGACAAGAAAAATAGTTTTTTTTTCTTCTTCTCTGAGTTTGTTGTTTCACTCACCTTGGACACTCTTCCAGCGACGTCTCGGTTTCTTCCGGATGGATCACTACGAGCTTTGGATTTATAATCACCTGCGAGGACTCAAGAAGATGGGACTTTAATGCGAGCGAGAGAAGGAGAGAGGAGTTTTTCACGAACCATGAGCTTGGAAGGCTGTTGGATGGTTGGATCCTCAAGAACAATGATCTAGACGAACACGATAGTAGTGATCCCAATTTGCCCCAAAACGCGGAATTTTCGTTACCTGGAGGGCTTGACCGATTTGAGGAGCTGACAGGGCCGACGCTCCCAAATTCCTCATCGCCGCGACCAAATCATTGATCACTTTCTCGATCGCGCAGCTCCCAATGGCATCCAGGGCGACCTCCACGGCGCGCTTGCTCAGCAGTGGATCTCCAGCCTGGAGCACCTGTGGGGCGAAGCAATTGGGCCCTGGATTGTGGCCCAGCGATCGCGAATTTCCCCCGGGGATGGAGGGAATGGATTGCTGCGCCGCCGAGTGGAAGCTCCGGAAGGGCGAGATGTCCACCACATTGGGCATTGCCAATTGGACGGCGCCATGGGAGGAAGATCGTGCAGTGGGCATTTCTTCTGCGAAGAAGGAAAGAAAAAGAAACCCAAGAGAGAAGACGAAGAACGTGTGGCATCGAGTCTTTCAGTTACTGGTCATTTCCACGTGTGCGATCCAGACTAAGCCACGTCGGTACCAAAGTTTCAACGGTCAATTGGTCAATCAAAGGAGACTAGGTCACAAAAGAGAAATTTAGGTTTTTGGGAAGCATGCTTGGCTTGCGGCCATGGCTTCTAGCGCAATCTCCTCAAGCTCTCAAGCGCCACGATCTGGTCGTGCGATCTCTTCACCAGGAATGTGGGCGCAAATCTCGCCTTGTTTTTCTTGGAACACCGGAGGTGTGTAGCGATTCTTTGTTCGTTTCTTTCCTCTTTCAAATTAATATTGCCCTTTCCAGCCCGCTGCAAAGGTTCTCGATTCTTTGCTAGACGCCGCAGCGGCTAAAGACTCCAAATTCGAGGTGCGTAGCTTAGAATTTGCATGCATTGCTAGAGAAAACTCTAGAGAAAAGTTTGTGTTACTTATAGATGATCGATCCAGATTGCTGGGATCGTCACGCAGCCGCCAGCAGCTAGAGGTCGAGGCAAGAAGCAAATGCCATCTCTAGTCGCCCAAAGAGCTCTCGACCGGCAATTCCCTCCACACTTGATCTTTTCGCCAGAGAAAGCCAGTGAGGTGAGAGCTTGAAAATGGCATGAAAACGAATGACTTCTGGGCTTTTGTAGCGATGTTTTCTGGAAGAACTTAAGAGTTTGGAGCCGGACCTCTGCGTGACTGCGGCTTACGGCAACATTCTCTCTCAGAAGTTCCTTGACATTCCAAAGCATGGTTTGCATGATATCTCTTAAACTTTTCATCTGTGTCCAACTTAGTTCTTCTTTCTTTTGTTTTTCTCCTTTCCAAGGTACTGTTAATGTTCATCCGAGCTTGCTGCCGCTGTATCGAGGTGCCGCTCCAGTGCAGCGAGCCATTCAGGTGAGGAGCTCTTCGTGGATTAAGCTGTCTCTTGAGTACTAAGTATTTTCTTCTTTTCGTAGGATGGAGTGAAGGTTACTGGCGTGAGTGTCGCTTACACAGTCCGAGCTCTCGACTCTGGCCCTGTTGTAGCCTCTGAAAGCGTTGAAGTGGACGAAAACATTAAGGTAAAGTTTGCACGCAAGGTTTTCATATTCTTTTTCTAGATTGCTTCTCTCTTTCTTTCTCGCAGGCACCTGAGCTACAAGATCTTCTCTTCTCTAAAGGTAGAGCTTTGTGAAAATGTACGAAGTTTTCTTGAGTTTCTTTGCACAAGGACAAGAGTTCTTATTTCTTCTTTTGCTCTGCGCTAGGGACGTGTTTGCTGCTGAGAGAGATGCCACATCTACTGGATGGAACGGGACGAAGTCGGGCTACGGAGCAAGATCACTCTCGCGCTACTCACGCTCCCAAGGTTGGTTTGTCAAATTCTTTTGCTATTCCATCAACTCTTCCTTTTTCTTTAGATTGGTGTAGAGGAAGCGTGGCTTTCATTTGAGGAGCCTGCGGCTATAATCCACAACAAGGTACCCAAAAGCCTTAGGAAGAAATATATCCAGACACTGCATTGATTTTTCCAGGTGCGAGCTTTTTCCGAATGGCCTGGGACAAAGGCAAAGTTCCATCTCTCGAGCAGCAACGATCGCGAGATCCTGGAGATGAAGATCGTGACAACCAGAGTTTGCCAGTCAGGATTTCCATCGACTCGCTCCATTCTACTCAAGGCTGGATCGATGCTTGTGGAATGCGGTGACCACTCTTGGCTGGAGGTAGCGCTCGATCTTTCCTCTCTTTGTTTCGCTTGTGTGATTCTTCGTTCTTCCAGATTTTGGAGGTCCAGCCACCAGGAAGGAAAGTGATGAAGGCTCGCGATTTTTGGAATGGCTTGCAAGGAAAGGAATTGACAAAGTTTTACGAGGAAGTTCTAATGCACTGAGATAGAGCTCGTTGGAAATTTAAATTTCCCGCCGTGGCACAAAACCCTAGCTAGTCCTGTGATGAGGAGGTTTGGGATGAACAAGCCGAGCGCCGGCGAGCTCGCGTCCCTCTGCGCATCATACGACAGGTTTGAGCGCCAGATCCCTCGCGGCGGCGATCACAGGCGGCTGGATTTCTCGCGCTCCCGGCCGCTGCCGCCGCCGCCGCCGCATTGCTACGCATCGCAGCCGTCGCAGAGCCAGCAGGAGTCCTTCTCTTCCCAGGGCTTCTCGCAATCCAGGCGAGAATCGCAGGTCACGGCCACGGATTTGGTCCCTTTGCCAGTCCCAATTCGATCGGACGATGCGATCGAGCAGCGGTTGGCTGCTCTGGAAAATCTCGTGGCCGGGGTTGCGGAGAGCATCAGTTCCATGCGGAACTCTCTGGACGACCAAAATCGCAAGGTTTCATTCATGGTGAGTTCTTTCTTTCTATTCCAGTTCTAATGTTTTTTTGCTTTTCTTGTGAATGGAAGCTGAAGGAGGAGGAAGGCACCATCAAACGAGTGCTCGATCAGATCCAAGCTGTGCCCGCAAAGCTGTCCGGGGATGTTAAAACGGCACTCCGAGAGGAACTCAAGCAAGCGCTCTTGGAGTCGGACGAAGAAACTGTTAGCCAATGCAAGGATCCGAGAGATAAGAGCGCATGGAGTGTGGAGATCAGCAGGAGGAAAGCAGCAAGAGAGGAGGAGCAACGATCCGACGGTAAAACGCGAACTCTTTGTTGCTTTTCTTTTTCTTCTTGGCTTTATCTCGTACTTTGCAGATTCTACAACCTTGGATCTCTACTCTCCAAGCGCAAAGGAGCTCAAGAAAATGCGAGACAAGGTCCTGAGAGCTCGGAGGAGCATTAAGAAACGAGCTTGACGAGATCCACTTGGTCTTCCGCGGTATGTAGAATCTAGACTTCCTGTTTAGTTAAAAACGATTTGGAGATAATCATCCTTCGGAACTTCCACACTTACATACCTAGCAAAGTGGACTTTCGACAGGATGTGCTTTGACAGCCTTGTGTCCTGGAGCTGCGATATGTCGAGAACACGTTTCAAAGCAGAGCTGGCTTTGGAGATGTTCGAATGGATCAGTGAAATGCCTCGACTTTGCTCCTGCTCTGAAAGCTCGCACCACCTTCAGCCGACGAAGAAAAGAAGGAAATCCACGGATAGAGAAGGGAATGGCCAATATTCACTCGCAGTGCTCACAGTATGATGCAGGAAACAGCGAGGGTGATCCGGCTTTGGAATTAGTAGCGGAAATACAAGCAGCAAAGGTCTGCGGTCCAAACTCTTTGGCATTTGTGGGAGCGCTCAAAGCGTATTTCTCTTGCAGCTAAAGAGGAGGGGACTGACGTGGAGGAAGCTGCTATGGATGTCCACTTGCAAGCTGAGTCGAGGCTCTGTAACTGGATAGATTTCCAAGGTGTGGAAGTTTGGTCTTCAGGCCTTATTCATGGCATATTATGTTGAAGTGGGAATATAATGACTACTAGCATTCAGAAATGTTTGCACTTATCAATTCAAATTCTTCCATTGATAAATGCTAGAATACTTCAAGAACAGAGTATAGATTGTAATGTCAAGCTTATCGAGCACAGAAAAACTACACTGTAAAGTAGCTCAAGGTAAAAGAAAACCATATGTACACAATACATGATGTAGAGAGTTTTCTGGTCAAGCATTGACAAAGGTTGACCAGAGACCTCTTGATTCAAAAGCCTATGAGTGATAATCTTATTCACTCATGAATCAATCCAGAATTATCCTAGTGAACCTGGGTGCACAAGCTGCCCAACTTTCTGGAGACTTGGAGTTTGGAGTGTGATAGTGCATTTTTGGAGCATACCCAACCATCACCATGCTGTTCACCAGTGGCTGCATTGGCAAGGTGATGAAATCTCAAGCAAAAACAAAAGAAGTAAAATATTTACCACTAAATGGGTGTAGCACTAGACTTGTCCCAATTCCATCATTGCAGTGGTCCTCTGCGTGGAATGCCTCTTCCATGGCCTCTTCCTTGTGATCCAGCCACAAGCTTAAGTTTTCATATAAGAGATCTTCTGCTAATATATGAGAGCAAATTGGCAAACTCAAAATTGTAATATATGTGATTTTTACCTTTTATCTTGTGGTGCTTTATTATAAGATAACCATGGAACATAATTTTAACCCTCTATGTGCCATATGCCATATGTCACATGCCATGTGTCAAAAGGCAACAAAATGAAATTTAAGTTTCAAGGCCTTGAGCCATTAAATGAAAGGATGAGTTAAATTCCGAAGTATAGAACTTGGAAGTGAAACAAACAAAGCATGGAATAACTCATGTCTATAGAGCAAAGTGATAAAGGCATGGAATGACTTAGAATAATCTTAGAGTATTGAGCATCCCAATGCTAGGACTAACACACAAAATAGAGCCAAATAAAGTTTAACACTATTTTAACATACTAACATGAGGATATAAATACTCCACCAATATAAAGTTTAAGTTTAGACCCAAGATAAATATAGAACAAAAATAGGCATGCAAGCAAAAGCTAGATTATGCCTCAAGTTGGATAGCCATGTCTAATATACCTATCCTTATTATACATTTGGAACCACATTTCTTCTTTAATGCCCTTTTGATTTAAGTGCACATATATGATAATTAATTTCTCAACTAGCTTGGGTGAAAAGTAATAAAGGGTTTAATAATACGTATCAAAAGTTATATGTTGGCAAATCCTCTTGAATATTCTTTCTTTATTACCATGATGGCAAGAGCTTAGCATAACAATTCCAAACAACATTAACTAATTATGGCTATTTGGGAAGCAAAGAAGAAGAAAGGGTTATCTATCCTTAAATATATTACTGCTCAAGAAGATCAACATAAGAATAAATTGATTTCCTTAATGCAGCACATGTACTTCATTATGAGGAAGGGATTACCTTTAGAAAGCTATAAATCTTTGTGGAATTTAACAGGTTTATGGGAATGCCCTATATGCCAATCACCATAGAGTATGGGACTTATGTAAATGTTATGAGTGGAAAAGAGTTTGTAAAATGTATAAAAGATATGATAGAAAGATGTTTGCCAAAATATTCAAGCTAGTCCTTACTTTTTCTATTATGGTGGATAACAATACTGATAGAAGTTTGGAAGCTCATTTTATCATATACATCTCTTTCCATATGCAAGAAGAAAGAAAAAAGTCTGAATAAAACTTACTTTTTGAAATTGATGGTAACTAAAGGCTGTAAGTAAATATGAAGCTATCAAAAAGGTTTTAAAAGAAATGAACCTTAAAAAGGGAAAATGTGTTGCTATTGGAACTAATGAAACTTTTATTATGGTTTGAGAATAATTTGGTCTAGTGACAAGATTGAAACATAACATTCCACACTTTCTTGGAGTGTATTGCTTAGTGCATAAATAGAGTTTAGTGGCTATTGAAGTTGTGTATGCATTTCCTAAGCTTGTGGTTGTTCAAAAGCTATACAATCAAATTTATAAATGGTTGCATACTTCTAGAAAAAAAGTCATGGCTTTTAGGCCTCTAGAAGATGCTATGAATATACTTATATTAGGTATGCTTCAAATCCACAATTTACATTGGTTATCTCATGGGGAAGTCTTAAAGAGAATGATCCAATATTCATATGCTACCTGATATACTTTTGGAATTGAATAGTCTGAACAAAATCTTTCAAAGCTAAAACTGTGGATATTGCTAGCATTGCTGGGTATTTAAATGGTACTTTGAAAAGTATCAAAAGAAAATTTCTGAAAAAGACTCTTAGTGTGAAACAATTGAGTAATTTTGTGGAGGCTACTAAAAATAAATTTATCAAGTTTATAAATGTTAAAGGGGAATAACATAAGCATGTCTTAGATTATACTCTTATTCTAGATAGCAAAAGAGATGGGAGCTTGAGCTCTTGCTTAGATTTAAACAAGGAATGTGTTCAAAAATTATACATTAATATGCTGGCTAGAATGGGAAAGGATATAGGCATGTTCAATGCTACAAAATTGTTCATCCCAAAGAATTACTCAAATGATAAGGAAAAATTAGATAACAACTCTTATAAATGGCTAAATATCTTACTGAACCAATATGGTGCTCTTATTGATGGGGAAAAATGTAAAGAAGAACTCACAAAGTTTGTAACTATCATGTAAAGTAATTTGTTAACAAAAAATGGGCTAGTGGCTTAGTAAATATGCAAAGATGATATTTCCATGATAAATATATATTCTAATTTGATGGAACTATGGAAAATTATCTCTTTAATACCTGTGAGCACTATTTATGTTGAAGGTGGATTTTCTTATCAAAATTAATTGAAAACTACTTCAAGATGCTCTCTAAAGATTGAAAATTTAGATGATTTGATGTTTATCTATTTAAATGGTGATAATGACTACAACAAGATCAATTAGGGGCATATTTATGATGCATGGCATCAAAAAAAGGAAAAAAGGATTTTGTGTGATTAGTTGTATTAAAAAGTTGTTTATATATAAATATCTATATATTAGGATGTATAAATTAATTTTTATCTTGCACAATGAAAGAAAATTATAATATTCACAAGAAGGAAAAGAAAGTTTGCCCTACAAAATGCTAAACTAAATTGCTCTGCAAATTTGAGGCTTGTGGCAGTGGCAATAGTGTTCAGTAGCAGTCTGTCCTGTCCAAGCTTTGCCTTCATTACACCACTTCGTAGTACTACTCCTTGAGCCAGCACAAGGTTCTTAAGTATAAGATAGAAACATGACTATGTGAGAAGGAATACTCCAGTTTTTTCTTTCCCACCACCTAAGCCTAGTAAGTGGCAAACTATAAGACCTGGTTGAAAGGGAGAGTTCTGCACAGTACACACTAAAAGATGGCCATGCCTCGTGTTTGAAGCTGACTTTTCTCTAGGCCTGGAAGAACAAGCTTTAAGTTTATGAGTACGAGATACAACAGGTTTCTATATACTATTATTCCCTTCCACGGCTGTGCGATAGTTTCTTGTGCAACAGTAGAAAGGGCCCTACCGAGACGAAGAAAAGAGTTTTGTGTGTGTCAGATCATTGTTGTCAAACAACATTGATCGATCTGGAATCGCAGCACTAGTGCTCCAGTTTCCAGAGCGGAAAACATTGATTAGGTCACCAGCCTTAGCTGGACCCACGGTCACCAGGCTTAGCTGGACCCACGCAAGAGCCGCCTCCTCAAATGCCCAGAACTCCTTGAACACTAAACATGGATTCGAGGAACAGCAGACAGTCTGCCACCGTTCACTTTGCGGACGAGGTAACCATTCAAGTTCCTTCTTCCGGCTCTGCTCTCGCTTCTCCACCTTCTCCACCTTCAAGCACTAGAACCCTGAATACCAGTGAGTTGTGGTCGGTTTTTTCTCCACATCCGGACGCCGAGCAGCAGCCTTCCACTCCCAAGCCTTCAGCTCCAGAGCTGCAGCAGCTTTCCACTTTTTCAAAGTCTTCAGCTCCAGTGAAAAGGAATAATTCCCGATCACCAGAGCAGCTCACTTTCAGAGCTTACCGCACAAGCTTCGCAAAATTGTGGCTGCATGGACTCCAACTGGCTTGGTGAGCATGTTGATCAAGTTCTTGAGGGTCTTGCTAACACCACCTTGTCTGTAGCTTTTGTGCATGAGGAGCCTCGAGCAATTGTTGGGACACTGGAGAACGAGCACAATTATGGCTTCCCCGGCTCTCATGGCGATGGTCAACTGATCGCTGTTCGGTGCGGTTTCTCTCGCAAATATGGCCATCAAGCTTTGGATAACTCCTCCAGTCGCACCAATGCAATCTCTAAGCTCGTCCTCGGCTGCTAGCAGCTTGATCACGTCGACTGCCAGCTCCAAATCTTCGAGATTGCATATCCTTTGAAGACTTCTTACTGCTGGCACTACCGACACTATCTTCTTTCGCAGTGACCGTCCAGAATCTCCTCGCACGTTAGCCAATGTCTTCAAAAGCTGGAGTGATTGACGGAATACTTCTTTCGACGTTTCTTCGTCTTGGATAAATTCAACCAGGATGGAGATAAGTCCGCTGGTGTGACCGATTCGCACGCATGTCCTGTAATCCACGACTAGCCTGTTGAGGACTTCTAACACTTCCTCCTCTCTTGCGGCTAAAAGAGCAGTGAGGGCCTCCACGGATCCAGGGATAGCGGAAATCCTGAAGCAGTTATGGCTGTGACGAACCAGGTGCTTGATTACTATGGTTGCAGCTTTCCTGATTTCGGCCTCACTAAGATCC